CCCAAGCACTGCACAGAGCAGGGGTTCCCCCACCACATATTTATTCAGAGGCACTGCACAGCAAGGACAACCCAGCACCAAACTTTGGAAGAGGCAGACCTGGCTGGAGTTCAGCAGAAACAGGGAATTAAGACACTGAACTAAATCAATGCATCCCCACCCAATTTCTATCCAAATCAGGTATTTCATGCACAGGAGAGATTTTGACCAGTGTCCCACTTTTAGCTACTAAGCAGAGAGAGCAAAGAGTGCTTGGCACTGTGCAGAATTCCAGTCTTTGCACTGAAGCTCTTGGAAACCCAGAGTAATTCAGATGCAGAAGCAATCTCAGCTGCTGGGAAGGAACTCAAACAGCCAAGGACAGAGAGAGCCTGTGCAGGGATGCAGGGAAAGAAAGAAGAGCTGCTGGCTGGGTGCAGGGAGGGGACAATGACCACATGGATAAAAGGATGGGGAGGAGGTAAAGGAAGGAGGTCAGGGAAAATCCACGCTGCTCTTGCTGAAATGTACCTGACAGTGGGGGCTTGTTTAGGGCTGCAGGACCCACAGACTGCCTGCAAGAACCTTCCAGCATCGCCTGGTGTGAGCCACACACTGGGACTGCAAACACCAGGGAGATGCTGGGGGGCTTGAGCAGAGCAAGGATGGAGGCACACGGACTGCAAGACCCACCCGGCCCATTCCAGATGGAGAAACATGGAAAGCCATGCTCAGAGCTTTCCCCAACACTCAGCTCAGGCTGCTCACTCAAACCTCCTGCTCGTCTGGCTTGGAGTGCCACCTGCTGCCAACGGTGCCGTCCTCCAGTCCCTGCGAGGGGACAACAGCAGCGCAGAGAAACAAACTTCCTGCTCCTACATCGGCTTTCCCGGTCCTTTAACAGCAGCCAAACTCCTGATCCAAAAAGCAACGCTATTTCCCAAGCTGCAGGCGTCCCACGAGTTGCAGGCATAGCAGCAGATGCTAATAAAGTACTTTTTTCTTTGCCTTTCATGCAGTTTCTCGCTGGAGCCAGCCTCTCCCCCCAGAGACCACATCCTGAATCTTCTTGTTCATTGACTCTTTATGCTAAATGATGACTCTGCAGTCGAAATAATGTGGCATATTCCAGCTCGCATTTCAGACACCGTGAGACTTTTTAATAACGAGTTGCATGAAAAATTAGAGAGGCTGCAACAAAGAGCTCTGACAGAGGTTTCCAAAGTGACTCACAGCCAGCAGAACCTCCCTTTTCCAAAGCCCAGTGTGAGACAATCTCAAGAGCCCCCGCACTCAGAGAGAGAGGAGTCCTTCCCCTCTGGAAAAATAAGGCCTTTTAAAGGAGAATTCTCCAGGGAGAGAATCCCTGCAGGGAGGTTTGGTGGGTGGGTTTAGGAGTCGTGGCTGAGATGACATCCCATTCCCAGGAGTGCCCACAGGGGTGTTTCACCCCACACCTCAGCTGTGCTGCTGAGGGTGCTGCAGGGTGGGAGTCACCTCATCCTGGGCTTCCTGCTTGGCATATTGGCTCTGGAATGCTCTAGAATGGGGCTGGCAATGACTCCTGCTGGTTTTGCAGGGAGACAGCAAACCACAGCAGTAAGAGGCAGTGGAGGTTTCTCCAGCCTTGGCTCCCAAAGCACTGTGGCACCCACAGCCACAGCAAACATCACCCATGCACAGGTATCCTGCTCCTCCTAGGGCTGGCTTGCTGCCAACCCTGCAGCTCTCTGCCAGGCTTTGCAGCATGATGGAGGAGGAATTTTTTTCAGGACAACTTTTGGCTGACTGTTTTTGCTTCCTGCCATCCACAAGAGCAGCTGCCAACATATTTCAAGGGGAAGCAGCAGGCAGCATATCCAGAGCAGCCACCCTGATGGGGATTAATGCCATTCATGCTCAGTCCCAGTAGTGAGCAGTGCCTGGCTGCTGGGTGGGACATGTGGCTGAAGGATGGGTTTGATTGCTCTGCTCCCTCTCCCAAGCTCAGCTCCAAATTCCTTCTGTATCCTGAGCTGGCTCCCACCTTCACCTCCTCTGTGACAGCCCTCACAGTCACCCCCAGCCCCAGGAGCTGCAGCACAGCCCCCTACTCACCCATTCCTAAGATCTAATTGAGCACAATTCCCCCCACCCAGCCCAGCAGACTTCTCAAAAGAGGTTCTTCCTCCCAAAGGAAGCTGGGAAAGAAATGCTGAGAGTAAAGGAGCAGCTGGCACAAAGGCAGTTCTTACCACATTCCAGAAGAAAGGGTTGAAGGCTATTGAGAGGACAGCCACAATGAAGCCAGTGTCAGTGACATCCACGTAGCCAAAGAGCCGCACCATGGCTGCCACATCCACCTGTGGAAGAAGGGAATGGTTACTGCACTTCACCTCAAACCAGCTGCCCCAAGGGTACATGAACCTCTTATTAGCCCTAAGCAATGTGTTGTTACAGCTTGCAAAGTGCTGTGTCAAGGTGCAAAGCCCAGAAAAAGGATGGGGACTTCTCCAAGCTGATCCCCCAAAACCTCAGGGGCATGGGGCCCTCCAGGAGCCCCACACTCACAGCGTGCCCAAAAGGACACAGGGTCAGAGGTGACACTGCTGCTCTGAGGATGAGCACCACTCCTCAGCTGCCAGCTCATGAGCGTTTTAGGAGGGGGAGCACCATTCCACAGCATCTCAGCATCCCTGGGGACACAGGGCTGTCCCAGGGGTGCTGGTCTGCATGGAATCCCCTACCAATGACCTGTGCCAGCTTCAAACTCATCTCCCATAAAGTCAGAGTGATGCAAACCCCCTCCACAGCAAGGGGGAATGCATTTGCACTGTAAGGAGCTGCAAAAGTACTTCCTGTCTTAATGACAACAACAAAACCCCCTTAAAACTCGCTGCTCTCCTTTTTAAAAAGAGAGATTTTTCCCCAGACAGCTCCCTGACATTGGCAATGTTTTTACGTGCAGTAAGCCACGCTGCTTCTCCCTCCACACTCCCCACACTCCCTCTCCCTGTGCTGGTATTTGGATGAAAAATAGCCAGTGTGCTTTTTTTTTTTTTTCCTTTGGTCAAAACCTTTGAAAACAAAAAACAAAATAGCCCATCCCAAGCCCAGCCCTCACTGGAAACAAAACCAAGACAACAACATTGAGACGTGGAAGGATTTTGCTTCCCCAACACAGCTGTGTTTTCAAGACCTTTGGATGCCAGGGGACAGGCACAGCTCGAAAAGGTATCAGGGAGGGAAATTCCCACTGGCTCCTCACAGGCTCTTGGGAAGAACCAGAGCCACAGTGTCATCCGTGGAAAGGGGCTGGTAAACCCAGCACTCTCCTAGCCCAGAGAAAAGGCTGTGGGAACAGCTCCCGTGCTGGCCCAGGGCACATCCAGCCTCTCCAAGCGCCTCCTGCCCAGCCATGACTGCCCAAGGTGCAAAGTGCAGGAGCAAAGACTGCACAGCCCTGGGCAAAGGGGGGATGGATCCTCACTGGGGCCCACAGCTGCCCTCAAACCACCACTGCCCCAGGTCCTCCAGGCTCCTTCGTCCGAGCCCTGGGGACACAGGTGCTGGCAGAACAATGGGAACAGCTCCCATGGCCTGTTCCAGACACATCTCCCCCTATTCCCACCCTCCACAGCCTCTCCTCCCCTCCCTGCACCCCCGAGCAGCCCTTCCCCACCAGACCTCATCCCTCCAAACTGCCAAGCCACAGCCCGAGCAGCTGCTGGCACCGGGGCCGAACTGTCTAATCCCGCTTCAATTGCAATCCCGTGGGACCAGGACAGCTTCTTTCCTCTCGTTTTGTACGCCGCTGAGCACAGTGCTAGCACGGGCTGAACAAAAGCTTCTTGACCTACTAACTCCTGGCAGGCACCATCGTTAACATCGCACTCACCTTCTTTTCTCCTGCTCAACAACCAAATTCGCGGCTGCCAGCGGGAGGCAGATTGGCCTGTGCCTGGCTGTGTGCTTCTCGGGATAAAAGGGGAGCCCTAATGGGATGAGCTGTCTCTGCGAGCTGCTGGGACAGCCACGTAACAGGCACAGAACATTCAACTTTGCCCCCTCCTCCACGCTGGGGGAGATCAATGACCGTGGCGAGCGGTGCCCGCTTGATCAAAGCCCCGAAGTCGGGGAGGCTGGGAACAGCACGGGCAGCTGGGTGAGAGCTGTACAGGTACCCAGGTGAGAGCTGCACAGGCACCCAGGTGAGAGCTGTACGGGCACCCAGGTGAGCTGTACGGGCAGCCAGGTGAGAGCTGTACGGACAGCCAGGTGGCAGCTGCTCGGGAACCGGGTGGGACATGAATGGGCACACGGGGAGGGCTGTACGGGCACCCAGGTGACAGCTGCACGGGCACCTGGTGGGACACGAACAGGCACACAGGGGAGACTTGGGGAGAGCAATACAGGCACCCAGATGAGAGCTGCATGGGCACTTGGGTGAGAGCTGTATCGGCACCTGAGTGAGAGATAAAAGGATACCTGGATGAGAGCTGCACGGGCACTTCAACAAGAGCTGCGGGGGCTTCCGGGTGAGCAGCTGGCAGCACCCCCGGGCATCCCCGCAGTGCCAGCGCAGCCCCTGCCTCCTGCTCAGGCCGTGCCGTGCCGGCTGGGGTGGCACCGGGCTGGGCAGGGCGGTGGGTGCACCTGGGGAACCGGGGACCGAGCATCCCGAGGCCTGCTGCACCTGCGGGGGCGATTCCCAGCGGATCTGCCGAGCCCCGCGGCGGCCCCGGGAGGGCGGGGGATCCATGCCCGGGCTCCCCCCGCTGCCCCAGGCCGGGCCCTCCCCGGGGCCCTCCCTCCCGCGCCCGGCCCGCCGGTACCTGGCCGTAGTCCAGGCCGCCCAGCCCCTCGCAGCACTCCCGCGGGAAGCGCCGGGCCCCGCCCGCCGCCGCCTCCTCCCGCCGCCCCGCGCCCGGCCCGCGCCGCCCCGCCATGGCCGGGCGCCCCCGCCGCGCCCCGGCCCGGCCCGAGCGCAGGGCCCGCGGTGGCGCTGCCGGGAGCCGCGGTCCCGCCCCGCCGGGAGGAGCCGGGCCTGGAGCCGCGGCGGGCCCGGGGCCTGCGGGCCGGGGGCAGCACTGACCTCAGGCCGCGGGTGCGTGACCGTGTGGGGCCGCGGCCGGACGGAGAGCGGCCCCGCGGAGGCACTTGGAGCCTGCCCGCGGGAGCGGCGGGAGCGGGCGGGACGGACCCCCCGGGGCCGCAGCGGGAGCGGCTGGGAGTGGGACGGCCCTGGTGGGAGAGGGAGCGAGAACCGAGTGGGCACCGCTGCTGCGGGGGAGAGACCGGCACTGCCAGCCCCCATCTGTCCCCTGCCAGCCCCTGCCCGTTCCCTGCCAACTCCCGTGCCTGCCCCTTGCCTGATCCCTCCCCGTTCCCTTTTCCCTGCAGAAACCGTGACTGTCCCATGCCTGGAGGTGTTCCAGGCCAGGCTGGACTGGGCTTGGAGCAACCTGGCCTAGTGCAAGGTTTCCCAGCCCTTGGCTGGGGGTGGAATGAGATGATCTTTAATGTCCCTTCCAACCGAAACCATTCTATGATTCCATGATTCTGTGATCCCTGCCCATCCCCTGCCCTGTCCCAGTTCAGTGCTCACACCATGGCCAGGAGCTGGGGAACAACTGCAATGGTTCCCTGGCACAGGAAATTAAATGCCGCTTGACCAGTATTACTCATTCAAGGGAAAAATCTAAAGCTACCAAGTCTAAATGTATTTTAAGGACAGTTCATTGCAGCCTTCTGCCTTCAGCAGGGCAGTATATTTTTTTTTATTGCTGTTATTATTACTACTCATGTTATTTTTTTACTTCAGTCCTCTCTAGGATGTTTCTGGTTGGTGCACCTCATGGGCTGCAGTCCTGGACCTGTCTGGACAATAGGGGATTATCATCCCTGTAGACCCCTGAAGGTCTGTGCTTTTGCAGATCCTGCTTTGCAAGGAAATAAATTTTCTTCAAAAAGGAATTTGGTGTGAATGATCTGCAAGTGTCCCTTCCAGAGGTCTCATGGGAGCAGGAAAGGGACAGGATATCCGAGTACTCATGTCCTGGCAGGCACTGAAAGCGTGCATGAGTGATGGCTCACTTGAAGCTCTCCCCAGGAGAATGGCCTCTCTGGAGGATACACTTCAGCAGACCCCAGGGATCCCAGTTTGGCTCCAGGGGAAGCCAGCCTTCCTTAGTTCTGCTGCTCCAAACCCCTCGGGGCACCAGCACATCCCCACCTGCACCGTCAGCTCCGGGGGTGTGACCGGGCCCGGGGAGCACATTCACGGCATGAGCTGGGCTGGTTTGGGCTGAGGCACACACCGAGGCACTGTGGGTGGGAGCAGCGTTCCCCATGGATGATCTCCAGCTGCTTGCAGCCTCTTCTCCCCCGCGCTGGATGATTTTGCTGTGCCAAGTGTGTAATTATCGCCTCTGCCATCTCGCGGGCTGGGCCGCGGGAGCAGGTGGGAGGATGTTTGTTCTGAGTCCCACCAGCTGGGTGCTGGGTGCTGGAAGGGTGATGTGGATGAGGTGGGGGAAGCGGCGGTGGCTGGGATGTGTGAGATGCTAATGTCCCTCTCCAGGAGGAATCAGCAGGGAGAAATCTCCCAAGTGTCCTCCTGGCTGCAAGGGGAGGGCGTCCTGGTGATGCCAGCGCTGCCAGCTGGGAAAGGACAAGGGTGTTGTGGCACAGTGGGGGCAGGAATGGGTCTGGCTGAGGGATGGATGGTGAGGAGGTGCAGAGGGATGAAGTGTCTCACTGGATCTTCATTTAGGGTCAGCAGAGCTGGGCAGTCATGGAAATGTCTCTCCTGTCACCCCAGTGAAGGCACGTGCTGCAGAATTCAGTGTCCTGCCACCAGCTCAGTTGTGTTTGGGGCAGCAAATCACACTTGAGCCTCCTTGCCATTTCCACTGCCAAGTTCCCTGCCCGTGGAAGTTTTTCCCTGTAAGAAGGAAAGAAGCTGTTTGTGGCAGTGGAGCCCCTCTGTGCTGGCCTTCATCCCACCTTGGACACATCCCTGCAGCTGTGAAGGAGACAAAGAGGGCTTTCTGCAAAGGCTGGATTTTATGTGCCCTCCCTCCCCTTCTCCCCATGGCGTGCCTTTAATCCAGCTCTCCCTTTCTGAGCACCGAGCTCAGGAAGAGGACATTGCCCTCGGCTTTCCCAAGTCCTTTATCAGCATGAACTCCCTCAGTGCCCCTTGAAATCCCACCACGGTCCCAAGGGGCCCCTGATGAACATGGAATTGCATCAGGGTGAAGGATGCTGAATGTGTGTTAGCAGGACACTGTGGCTTGGCAAGCTGCACTTTGTTCAGGAGCATTTCAAATTTCAAACACAACCCGGGAAATTCCCCACATGTGGAAATCTAGGGCAGGGAGTGTTGTTGGATGTTTTTCCCTCAGAAATGGGACATTGATTGGGAAACTGCAGTCCAGTAACTTCAGCACAGAGGGACAGCTCTCCTTACAAGACCAGGAAAAATTTTCCAGGCCAAATGATTGGTTTCCTTGCTAGGAAAAGAAAAGACAAGTCTTATTCCCATTCCTTTTTGTCCATGTCCCTGTGTCATGGTCCTCATGTTCAAACCTGCCCTGAAAAAAAGCTGATCCCTGTGGGTTTGGCCCTTGCAAACCTGCAAGGGCCTGTGCTGATGGGTCATGGAGATCAAGGACAGAGCATTGAAACGTGTGGTGAAGAACAACAAATAATTCTGGAGCACAGAGCCGAAACCTTGGGGAGAAGCAGCAAAACTGCATCTCCTCCTGTGTCCCCCATCAGATAATGTACAGTTACCAGCGGTGTGGTGCTGCAATCCAGACCTGCAATCCTAGTGGAAATCCTCTAGTGTTTGTGCTGGAGGTTAGTTCTATTTATTTTCTGATGAATGATTTACTTGAGTAATTGGCACACAGCTCCCCTATTACAGATCATAAAGAATTAATCACGAGATTTTCAATGCTCCCCTATCAATTTTATTAGGCTTGATTGAGCGTAGTGGATTGGGAGCATATGGTATGTGAGGCAGACTCTGCTCCCAGTTACACCCTGGTTATGCTGAGGACTTGCTCAGCTGCTGATCCCTGTAAATCCAGAGAGACAGCTGCTCCTTTCCTCCTTCCCATGCCCCCACTGTTCCTTGAGTTCCCTTAAATACCCAGGGATACAGAGAACAACCAACACCACCTCCACGTACCTAAATTCTCCAAAAGCCTGAGATGCTCCCAAACTGGAAGCCAAGTTGGGTAGAGAGAGGATGCTTTTGCTTCCAGCTCGTCCATGTACCAGCATGAGCCAGAAGCTGGAGCCAAAAGCTTGGGAGCTCCAGCTCTGCCCCTCGAAGGGGACGTGTCACAGCGTGGGAGGCTTGTCACTGATGAGAGCTGAGGGTGCCTGTGTTGGCATCAGGGAGTCCTGCCAGCCAGGTTTGCCCACGGGAGATGCTTTCTTGGAAGAATTGGCAAAAAGAAGTCCTAACACCTGCAGGAGCAGGATGACACATCCCTGCCCCGAACCAGCAGCACAGCGTGATTCCCTGGAGCAGAAACCTTCTTAAAAGTCACATCCCCTGTGTGACTCCCCTCATGCAGAGAACCAGGGAAACCTTCAAAATTTCCATGTGGAAAGTCCTCACAGTCCTTCCCTTGCTTTTTGCCTGTGGGTGTTGTTACCATGCAGAGTCGTGATTTCAGGGAAGGGGATGGTGCAGGGCCCTGCTCCAGCTTGTGGGCAACGCTCACCTTGGTGAAACTGCTCCCAGCAACACCAGTATCTCAAGAGGTATTTACAGGAGAGAATGGGAACTTTGGGAGTAGATGGAGCTACTTGCATAAGCCCAGCTGATCCTGAGCTAGCTATCCTTGCAAAGCAGCCAGTCTGGCTCAGCTTCAACCCTCATCCCCATCTGCTGCCTCGAGCAGCTGCATTGAAGGGCACTGAGAAGTTATTGCCAGTAACCATTGGCAGGAGCCAGTGTGGAAACCTCCCTCTGGGAGAGCTGACCTGGGGAGGGAAAATCAGGAATGCAGAAGAGGACAGAGCAGGATCTGGCTGTTACAGCCAGAACATTTTATATGCACATGGTGGTGGTTCAGGAGCAGAGTGAGCAGGACTTTGCTCAAGGGTCTTGCCCAGCTTCAGCGTGCCCAGTCAATGGGGCTGCCTCTTTCTGCCCTGCCCCTGCTGCCTGCACCTGAACCAGCTCTCCAAGGCTTTGTGGTGTCCACGCTTCTGGGGGAGCATCCCTCACAAACCCCCAGGCTCTGGGAATTCCACGCTGACTCCAGGTGACCCCTCTGTTGAAGCTGGGTCTCGCCCGGGTGCTCTGCCCTGGCACAGCCACAGCCCACACTGCTGTGAGCCAGGGCACTATGCCCTTGTCACACTTCAGTGGGGTGAAGCACACTGGGAAGAGGCACACACAGAGGCATAAAGGTGCATTTTTCCAGCCTCAGCATTCCCAGGGAGCTCCAGTGCCCCTCAGAGCCTCGCATGTGATGGGCACTGTGGGATGGAGCAACTCCCTCCAGAGGAAGCCAGACTGTCAGAGGAGCTTCCCAACACCTTGCTCTGAGCCTCGTGGAGATAACATTTAGGGAAGGATTCTCAGAGCTTCCCTGCTCCCCGAGGCCACGCTCATCACCAGCATGTCTCTAATGAAGCGGAGGCTTTGCTTTCTGGGATCAATGAATCCACCGATCGTGACCTGTCTGCTAAGTGGGAAATCAGGTCTCTCCCTCCCCAAACTCGTCTGAGCTGGGCTCAAACAGCAGGTTCTGTCCCCAGGGTTGCTCTGTGTCGCTTAATTGCAAACCCTGAGTCTGATTAGAGAGCAGCAGCAAGGGTGTGCAGAGTTACCACGGAGCAGCGGCTGCTTCCCCAGCCTGGGAGATGGCTGCAAAGAAGGAGGACATTTTGAGGCTCCAGGTGGGTGGAAATGACCCAGATTTCCCTTTTCCAAAAGGTCCTGACTCTGCACAGCTGGTTGGAGGGTTTACTGCCAATCTGCTCTCCCCCAAAGCCCTAAATCCCTCCAAAGCACTTTTCATGGGGACAGATGCTTTAAGAGAAGCTGAGGCTCCCCAAAGCAGAAGGCAGCTGAAAAGGTCACTGCTACCAAGTTCCCTGGCCACAGGCACGTCCCATGACAGACGTGGGAGCAACCCCCATTGCCCCTGGGTCCATCCAAAGAGGCAGAACAGTTTTCCCTGATGCTTTCTGCCCCTACAAACCACCCTGTGCACCCCCAGCACCTTTTCCCATAAGGTGCAAAGGGCTGAACCAACCTCCAAAAAAATTCCCCTGCACATCAGCAGCATCAGGGGTAAGGTGCATTGCTCCAGACACGTCTAATTAGGGCGTCCCCATTAGCTGAGCCATCCAGATGCCCAATGCTCACTGCAGCATTGAGGAGGGGTGAGCTGGATCCATCATATGGAGGGGGCTGAGTCACAGCACCAAGCATTCCCTCCGTGGCCATCTCTCATCCCTCACTCTGCTGGTGCCTGGCTTTTCCCAGGCAATCAGCATTGCTCTCAAATGTGAGCCCCAGGAGGGCTGTGGGGAGAAAAAGCTCTCATTGAGGACTTGGCAGGGAAAAAAAAGCCTGGAAGCGGAGGCTGCTTCGTGCCAGGTGTGATGGCCCCTACAGCAAGTGCCACAGAGGGCTGGGCTCAGAGCCTTTTCAGAGCATCAGCCCTTCCCTGAGTGGTCTCTAAAAGCTGTGGGGATGTGCTCTGCCTTCAGGCTGAATCCACATGGAGGACTCCAGGGGAAGGGCTGACTGCAAGGCAGGGACACAAGCATGAGCTTGAGGGGGCCAGGAAGAGGCTCCATGGGGACACACAGGTCTATCCTGAGGAACCACAGAGCCAGCTATAAATACCTCCTCAGAGCATCACTCCCCCTCCTCTTTGATGTTTTCCTGTTATTTGCTTCAAACCCACTCCTGCTGCTGTTATTTTTATCTTATC